GTCATTTAGGGAGTGAACCACCAGATGGAAGACCTCCCTCCCTCCCCCACCCCTCTCTCCCCGCCCTCCTTCTCTGTATCGCTGCCTTTCAAATAAATAAATAAATAAATAAATATTTTTTAAAAAAATTGACCTCCTTCCCTGGAGATTTCCTGCTGGCAAGGTCTCTGCAGCAGATGAGAGAGTTTTTCAGGAAACAAGGAGCTCACCTTGCAGATCCTGGAGTCCATTCCCCATCTGTTCCAAGTTCCCATTCACCAGCGCCGTCACTCTATGGATGTGGCCATGCTGGTGCACTTCCTTGGGCAACTCTGCTCTCACATTTTCTTCCTCTTCCTCCTCCTCCTCCTCTTCCACAGCATCTTCTTCCTCCTCCCCTTCCTCTTCCTCTTCTGAATCCACTAAAACCATGACATCACCTATGTCTTGTCCCCTAATTTCCAAAGGAAGAAACACTAATCAAGAAGAGACCTTGTTTTTCCCAAACTCAGCCCGCACTAGATTCTCGGCAACCCCTGTAGTGATGCGGGAAGTTCCTCCTGTATCTGGCTTGGGTACGACAAGAGACGTGCTGACAGACTGCTACAGATGGACACAGCTCCTGCCGGGTATCTCCTACCCCTGTTCCTGCGCCAGGTGGCCACACTGCCCCAAGCATCTACCATTCCATTTCCTCTCACAGCACTTATGTGAGGGTTCTTCAAAAAGTTCACGGAAAATGGAATTCAAAGATAAACTTGTCTGTAAAATAATTGAAATCCACGTATACTTTCCTCATTATGAATTTTTTAAGGTTTTATTTATTTATTTGAGAGGTAGAGTTACAGACAGGGCGAGGGAGAGGGAGAGGGAGAGGGAGAGGGCGAGGGCGAGGGCGAGGGCGAGGGAGAGGGAGAGGGAGAGGGAGAGAGAGAGAGGTCTTCCATCTGTTAGTTCACTCCCCAATTGGCCGCAACGGCCGGAACTGCGCCGATCCGAAGCCAGGAGCGAAGACCTTCTTCCAGGTCTCCCACGCGGGTGCAGGGGCCCAAGGACTTGGGCCATCTCCTACTGCTTTCCCAGGCCATAGCGGAGAGCTGGATTGGAAGAGAAGCAGCCGGGACTCGAACCTGCACCCATATGGGATGCCAGCATTGCAGGCGGAGGATTAACCTACTGCGCCACAACCCCGGCCCCCTCATAATATGAATTTCCATGAACCTTCCTTTCCTTTTATTCTTAAAATGAGATGAAATTATTCCTTCCTTGGGGCCGGTGCTGTGGCTCAGCGGCTTAATGCCCTGGCCTGAAACGCCGGCATCCCATATGGGCACCAGTTCGAGACCCGGATGCTCCACTTCCAATCCAGCTCTCTGCTATGGCCTGAGAAAGCAGTAGAAGAAGGCTCCTGCACCCGTGTGGGAGACCTGGAGGAAGCTCCTGGCTCCTGGTTTCAGATTGGCACAGCTCTTGCCGTCCCAGCCAATTAGGGCGTGAACCAGCAGATGGAAGACCTCTCTCTCTCTCTGCCTCTCCTCTCTCTGTGTATCTCTTTCAAATAAAGAAATAGATCTTAAAAAAAAAAAAAAAAGTATCCAATTAGAATCCATTATCCAGCACAAAGACAAAATGTAATATAATAAAATATAAAAAAAAAAAGAAAAAAAGAAATTATTCCCTCCTTTTAAAAATTTTGTGGCCGGCGCCGCAGCTCACTAGGCTAATCCTCCGCCTTGCGGCACCGGCACACCGGGTTCTAGTCCCGGTCGGGGCACCGGATTCTGTCCCGGTTGCCCCTCTTCCAGGCCAGCTCTCTGCTGTGGCCAGGGAGTGCAGTGGAGAATGGCCCAAGTGCTTGGGCCCTGCACCCCATGGGAGACCAGGAGGAAGCACCTGGCTCCTGGCTTCGGATCAGCGCGATGCACCGGCCTCAGTGCACTGGCCGCGGCGGCCATTGTGGGGTGAACCAACGGCAAAGGAAGACCTTTCTCTCTGTCTCTCTCTCTCACTGTCCACTCTGCCTCTCAAAAAAAAAAAAAAAAAAAACTGTTAAACTAAGCACTGGTGCCCCATGAACTTTTTGAAGACCCCTAGTATGCTCGGATTTCAAAATTATTGTGCACCAAAATTAACTTATCTTTTAATTCCATTTTTTCCATGAACTTTTTGAAGTACCTTGTTTATAATATGTTCTCACCTACAATGATCTTTCCGCTCCACGTACTGAGATCTCTCATTATTTAAGACTCAGGGAAAGGCCTCTCCCTCCCCCTTAAGCCGAGAGCCGTGACTGCGTTTGGAGTCCATGCACCGCGGCTGGGCATCAGTTGCTCTCAGTTTATCGCTTGGCTTTGCCCACCCAGCCGGGATGCACATTTCTCAAGGGAGAGCGGGTGCCGTGGGCCAGTCCCAGTGCTAGGAGCATTCCATTCTCATCCACCCTGGCAGCCCCACTCTGTGAAACAGATGAGGGGACTACCGCTCAGAGAGGGTGAGGAATTTTCCATGGGCACACAGCCTGGGACGAGCAAAGCTGCAATTTGAAACCCAAGTCCACCGATTCCAGAGTCTGTTCCCAGGACACCACCCTGCTGCCTCCTGTGAGAACAAGCCTGGGAAGCACAGACTCCCGGGGAAACTGGGCCTCAACTACAGGGCGGGAAAGGCCACGTCCTCCCAGGAAAGACGGTCCCACAGCAACATCGTTAGGAATGAGTAAAGGGCAACTCTTCCCAAAGGATCTCAGAAAACACTCCTCTGCTCCTACCCAGACTCTGCTTAGGAAAGGAACCCATTTGGTTACTTGGCTCCTCCTGGGATTCCTCTGGGAGGGCTTCTGGGCATGCTGAGGCTGGCCTTCCAAAAGATTGTGTGAGACCATGACTCATTCTTCCTTTTCCATCTTTGTAGAAAATTAAAACCAATGCATGAATGGCTAGGCTCAGCATGCACACACTGTCTCTGTCTCTCGGTAGCAGGTGGCAACGTGCCCAGCCCTGAGGTTTGGCACCCAGTAGACCTGGGTCTGGAGGCAGATGCTGCCGTTGACTTTCGGGGTGACTTTGCAGATGTCACGTCACTCGGCCTCCATCTCCTTGTCTGGAAAATGGAAACACCACCACCACCCTGAAAAGGTGATGTGAGGATTGGAAACAATGCCCCAGGAGCCCCCCGCCCATCTAGGGTCTGCACGGCCAAGGCCACGACTGTTCTAAGGAAAGAAATAGCAGCCGTGATGACAGATCATGCGAAACAGTTTCTGAATCGGGGGAGCACTCACCTGAAAGTGTTTCCTACTGAAGGGAGAAAGGAAAAAAAAAGTTAATATCCAGTAACATCCACTTCAGGCCCACCAAAGTTTTGTCAATCAACGTAACACTGCGGAAAGGTGAACAGACCAGAAAGCGACCCATCCTGAGAGGCGACAGGCTTTTCAGGCGTGGGAGGTGCCTCATCACTGTGTATCTTCACCCAAGGAAGCAACTGACAGAGTGGACTCTAGCCTTGGGTGGGAGCTCAAGAGAGGTCTCCTTCCCCCACCCACACCTTTTCAAGAAGCCTGAAAGAGGAGCAAAGGGACCCAAGGCAGTCCTACCTTTCCAGCAGAACATCGGGCTATAATACAACGTGAGCCCCGAGATAACGGCCAGTCCCAGCAGGAGGAGGCTGACGATGGTTCCCACAATGCCCCCAATGTTTAAAGGCTCTGTAAAGACAAATCACACTGTTGGCTCTCTCACTTAATGCATAACGCAACTAAGACAGCAAAACTTCTCCTGTGTCTGGGTCCAGCTCCTGTCTTATCTTGGTTTCATGACCTTGGGCAAAGCATATGACCTCTGGAATGCAAGACAAGTATCTCATCTCCTAACCTCAAACAGAGAGTCTGTGGGAATGAAATGAAGCACATTTTGAGAAAGAACATGGGAAAGTTAGAATCGCTGTGTCCACCAGATATCAAGATTGTTTACACAGCCACAGTAAGTCAGGGTGTGAGATATCAGGGCAACGATAACCAGAGTGATCAACAAAACAGCCTAGAGAATCCAGCAACATGCCCATGCATACACAAATACTTGCTAAATGACATATTAGTCAGCAAAGGAAGTACCATTCAAGAAACAGTGCTGGAAAACATGGTTACTCAAATTGGCAGAGCAAAAAGAAACTTGATCCCTACCTCACAACCATTCATAAAAATCAATTCTAGATGGGATAAACATTTAACTGAAAGGAAAAACATTAATATTTTTAGAAGAAAATATAGGAGAGTCTCTTTGTGACCCTGGGTTGGAGATGAATTTCTTACAACACAAAAATTGCTAATTGTTTAAGAAAATCTCCATAAAATCAGCCAACATTAAGAACATATGTTAATGAAAGGATATAAAGAAAGTGGAAAAGACAAGCACACTGAAAGGAGATATTTGTAATGTAAAACAATTTCAGGGCTGGTAGTATAGTGGTTAAGCTGCTGCCTGCGACGCCCCATCCCATAAGAGCCCTGGTTCAAGTTCTGGCTGCTCCACTTCCTATCCAGTCTCCTCTTAATGTGCCCTGGAAGGCAGTGGCAGACGCCATGAGGACTTGAGTCCCTGCCACTCACGTGGAAGACCTTGATGGGAATTCTAGGCTCCTGGCTTTCGCCTGGCCCAGCCACAGATGTTGCGGCCATCTTGAGGCGTGAATCAGCAGACAGAAGACCTTTCTCTGCCTCCAGCTCTCTTTCTGTAACTCTTTCAAGTAAAGACATAAATCTTTTTTTTTTTTAATTTTTTTCTCTTTTTTAAAATTTATTTGACAGGTAGAGTTATAGACAGTGAGATAGAGAGACAGAGAGAAAGGTCTTCCTTCCATTGGTTCACTCCCCAAATGGCCGCCACGGCCAGCACTGCGCCGATCTGAAGCCAGGAACCAGGCACCTCCTCCTGGTCTCCCATGCGGGGGCAGGGGCCAAAGCACTTGGGCCATCCTCCACTGCCCTCCAGGGCCACAGCAGAGAGCAGGACTGGAAGAGAAGCAACTGGGACTAGAACCTGGCGCCCACATGGGATGCCGGCGCCACAGGCGGAGGACTAACCGAGTGAGCCATGGTGCCGGCCCCAAGACATAAATCTTAACAACAAAATTTCTAAAGAATTCCTATGTGTCTATATGAAGGGACAAAACACACAAATAGTATTTCATAGAAGAAATACAGGGGCCAACACTGTGGCATAGCAGGTAAAGCAGCCACCTGTGATGCCAGCATCCCATCAGGGTGCCAGTTCGAGTCCTGGCTGCTCCACTTCCGATCCAGCTCTCTGCTATGGCCTGGGAAAGCAGTAGAAGATGGCCCAAATAGAAGATGGCCCAAGTGTGGGAGACCCAGAAGAAGCTCCTGGCTCCTGGCTTCAGATCGGTGCAGCTCTGGTCATGGTAGCCAATTGGGGAGCAAACCAGCAGATGGAAGATCAATCTCTCTCTCTGCCTTCGCCTCTCGGTAACTTTGCTTTTCAACTAAATAAACAAATCTTTAAAACAAAGAAGAAGAAGAAATACAAATAGCAAATAACAAAAGAATGATCAACACCTTCTTGTAATCAGGGAAATTCAAGTTAGAAGCACAGTGAGATTCTATTGTACACATACTAAAAGGGGACAGAAACTAGAGAGCCTGTTGGTGAAACGTGGAGGAAGCCGATACTCCTCTACATTGCCGATGATGATGGAACTTGCACACAGCCTGTATCCCTTAGCTCTGCTCTGCACACATCCTAGAGAAATACTGGCTTGGGGAACTGGGCGAAGACATACATAGCAACGCTGCTAATCATAACAAGAACATCAGCAACACAAATGTGTGTTAGCAGGAAAATGAATCATTCAGTCATGGAAAAGTAATCCAAGGGGAAATTACACCGCAGTGAAGAGATGTGAAGTGCCATAACACCCCTGGGCACGAATAAATCCTAGGGACAAAATGTGGAGTGAACGAAAGCAAGTCACAGGAGACTACCCACAAACAGCTACAGCCTTCTGTACAAGGGCCAGCTCTCGCACGCTCTGGGCTCCCACACACCAGCTCGGCCTCAGCCCCCACGAGAGGGGGCCGTTTGCTAGGATGCAGGAACTCACACTGACTCATCACCCCGTGTCCACAGATTACACGAGGGTTCACTACACAGCCTTCATTGTGAAATCATGCAGAATATTTCCATTGCCTTAAGAATCCTCTCTGCTCTGCCCATGCAACTTTCCCCTGGCTCGACCACCTCCTGGAAACCACCGAGCTTCCTACTGTCCCCTTCGTTTCACCTTTGCTAGAATGTCCTCGAGTTGGAATTACACAGTGCAGAGCCACACCAACCATATTTTAAAACTCACAATGTGTGTGTGTGTATATATATATATATTTTTTTTTTTTTTTGACAGGCAGAGTGGACAGTGAGAGACAGAGAGAAAGGTCTTCCTTTTTGCCGTTGGTTCACCCTCCAATGGCCGCCACAGCTGGCGCCTGCAGCCGGTGTACCGCACTGATCCGAAGGCAGGAGCCAGGTGCTTCTCCTGGTCTCCCATGGGGTGCAGGGCCCAAGCACCTGAGCCATCCTCCACTGCACTCCCTGGCCACAGCAGAGAGCTGGCCTGGAAGAGGGGCAACCGGAAAAGAATCCGGCGCCCCAACCGGGACTAGACTGGGTGTGCTGGTGCCGCGAGGTGGAGGATTAGCCTATTGAGCCGCGGCGCCGGCCTATATTGTTTCAATGGACAGTTTAAAAACATGTGCACACATCCTGAGGTGTTTCCTAAATAAAACAGGAGATTCAGGAGGGTGGTGCTCACTTGTGGAAGGCCCAGGATGAAGGAAAGGGACTTACAGACGGGGTTGTCAACAAACACAGGATGCCAGTGAAGTTTGGATTACAGACAAATAATGAATAATTTTTAGGAAAAGTATGTCCTATGTACTATTTGGGACATGCTTAACCTGGTATGGGGGGAACTACTGTGTGTGTGAGTGTGTGTGTGTGTGTGTGTGTGTGTATTCTTTGCATTTCTGAAATTCAAATTTAAGTGGGAATCCTATTTTTTTCAGTTGCACTGTTACCTAATTTCATCAGTGTCTGTACCACTCTATAGCTTGTGTGGGATGGTGATTTCCTAGAAGTTGATTTTTTCCATTAAAAACTACACATGTTCTTTAGTGTGTGCTAACTATTGTAAAGTTTTTTGCTCCCTATGCAAATGCTAGCAATTTTACAGTCAGGCAGTAATCTTTCCCAGCCACCTTATGAAGCCACTACAAGGGGCAGGCATCTGGCACAGTGTTAGATGAGGCTTGGAATGCCTGCGTCCCACATTGGGAGTCTCTGTATTCAAGTCCCAGCTCTGCTCCCCATTCCAGCTTCCTGCTAATGTGCACCCTGGGAGGCTACAGTGATGTCTCCAGTAGTTCAGCCCCTGCCACCCAGGTGGGAGACCTGGATGAGGCTGTTGCCGACCTTTGTCGGAAAATTCCATTTCCATCTTTCTGTTTCTCTGCTTTTCAAATACATAAAAATTTTAAAAATCATCGCTTCATCTGGGGGCCAGCACCATGGCTCCCTTGGTTAATCCTCTGCCTTTGGCACCGGCATCCCATATGTGCGCCAGTTCTAGTCCCGGCTGCTGCTCTTCTGATCCAGCTCTCTGCTATGGCCTGGGAAAGCAGTAGAAGATGGCTCAAGTGCTTGGGCTCCTGCACCCGCGTGGGAGACCAGGAAGGGGCACCTGGCTCCTGGCTTCGGATCGGCACAGCTCTGGCCGTGGTGGCCATTTGGGGCGTGAACCAATGGAAGGAAGACCTTTCTCTCTGTCTCTCTCTCTCACTGTCTAACTCTATCTGTCAAATAAATAAAATAAAAACAAATCATCGCTTCATCGATAAAATAAAGAGCACTGGTTTTTTTTGAAAAGCCACAGACAAGCAGATCTGCCATCTCCCGGTTGTCAGCGACCCGTGGGTAGGCAGGTGCCAGCTGTCCCCACGCTGATGCCGGCGGCTCTGAAGCCCTCAGCCCTTCCCTCGGTTCCACGTTCATCACTCACCTTTCACGCTGAGCCAGATGTCCACCTCCCGCACCCCCATGGCGTTCTCAGCCCGGCAGACGTAGTAGCCCTCATCCAGGTCCTGGGAGCAGTTGAGGATGGTGAGGGTGGAGCTCTGGCCATCCTGGGTGATGAGATAGCGGCTGTTGGACTGGATGGGCACCTTGGGCTGGGTGAGGTTCCTCAGCCACAGGATCTCGGCAGGCGGGTAGGCTCCAGACACCTGGCAGGTGAGTGTCACGTTGCCCCCCAAAAAGCAAGTCCTCATAGGGTCAGAAAGAAGGGAGGGGCTACCTGCAGATCAGAAGAAGGTAAACAGACAGACAATTAGGGGTGAGTATTTGGCCTAGGGATTAAGACACCCATGGGCGGGGAGCATCTGGGTTTGATATCTGGCTCTGGCTTCTGAAGCCAGCTTCCCGTTAATTCAGCCTCCGGGAGGCAGGGGGTGACGGTCAAGTGATGGGGCTCCTGCTACCCATGTGGGAGACCTGGACGGAGTTCCAGGCTCCCAGCTTTGGCCCTGCCTTCCCCAAAGGACATGCATATTTGGGAAACGAAGCAGTGGACAGGAGCTCGCTAGCTAGCTGTCTCTATCTCTCTCTGTGTATTTCTGCCTCTCAAATAAAACAAAAATAAAAACAAAAACACCCACATTTTTAAAAAGACAGATGTTTAAGGAGATTCAAGCTACAGCCTGAGATCCTCAGGACTATTTCCTCCCTAATTAAACAACTCCTGGAATTCCTGCACATACCTGGTCTGGTCTAACGGAATAAAGGCTAACATTTATGGAACAGTTACTATGGGTTAGGCACTGTCATGCATATTCACCCAATTTGTTCTCAAAACCCTGTTGTTATCTCCATTAGCAGATAAGAAAACCGAGGCCCAGGGAAAGCTACAGCTACGTAAAGGGAAGCACCTAGGGTGTAGAGTGACTGACGGCCCTGGTTTGCCCAGGATGAGCAGCAGTTCCTGAAATGTGGGGCTCTCAGTACTAAAATCAGAAAAGCTCTGGGCAAAGCAGAATGGGGGAGAGATGGGAACATAAGCAGTCAGGTTTTGTTTTTGTTTTAAAGATCTATTTGTCTGGGGCCGGCGCTGTGGCTTAGTGGGTAAACTGCAACCTGCAGTGCCGGCATCCCATATGGGCGCCAGTTTGAGTCCCAGCTGTTCCACTTCCGTCCAGCTCTCTGCTATGGCCTGGGAAGACAGTGGAGGATGGCCTAAGTGCTTGGACCCCTGCACCCACGTGGGAGACCCAGAGGAAGCTCCTGGCTCCTGGCTTCAGATTGGCACAACTGCAGCCGTTGTGGCCATTTGGGGGTGGGGGGTGAACCAGCAGATGGAAGATCTCTCTCTCTCTCTACCTCTCTGTAACTCTGCCTTTCAAATAAATAAATATTTTTTTTTAAAAAAAGATCTATTCGTTTATTTAGAAGGCAAATTAGAGAGAGACAGGGAGAGACACAATGGCAGGGATTGGGCTGGGCCAAAGCCAGGAGCCAGGAGCCAGGAGCTTCTTCCTGGTTTCTCTTGTGTGTGCAGGGGCCCAGGCACCTGGGCCATGCTCCACTGCTTCCCCAGGTCACCAGCAGGGAGCTGGACCTTGAATGCCAGGCTCATTTCTGTCTCAGGGCCTTTGCATGTGCTGTCACCTCTGCCAGGAACACTCAGCCCACAGATCGTCTCCTGGGCAGCTGTTTGTCACTCTCCAGGTCTCAGCTCAAAGCAACACCACCTCAAGGAGACTTGCCTTGGGGTCATTCCCTAGGAAACATGGCCCTCTTCTTACAAAGGGCTGCCCCCACCACCACCACTATTTCACTCTCCTCATAATTATTATCACAGTCTGAGCTCATTTTTGTACTTTCTCCATCCCTCCTACCCAGGACTTGAACTCTGAGAAGGAGAAATCATTGTGGTATTAGAAATGTGTCCAGGGGGAGGCATCTGGTTAAGATGCAGTGGTTAAGATGCTGGAAAAGGGGGCCGGCTCTGTGGCACAGTGGGTTAAAGCCCTGGCCTGTAGCACCAGCATCCCATATGGGAGCTGGTTCAAGTCCCAGTTGCTCCACTTCCGATCTAGCTCTCTGCTCTGGCCTGGAAAAGTAGGGGAGACCAGGAAGACGCTCCTGGCTCCTGGCTTTGGATTGGCCTAGTGCTGGCTGCTACAGCCATCTGAGGAGTGAACCAGTGGATGGAAGTCCTTTCTCTTTCTCTCTGCCTCTCCTCTCTCTGTGTAACTCTGACTTTCAAATAAATAAATAAATCTTAAAAAAAAAAAAAAAAGATGCTGGTTAAGACACAACTGCATCTCAAATCACTGTGCCTGGGTTTGATTCTGCCTCTGTTCCCAATTACAAGCTTCCTGCTGATGATCATGCTGGGAGCCAGTGGTGACACCTCAGGTGGCTGAATCTGTGTCACCCATATCAGAGACCTGGATTGGGCTCCCAGCTCCCAGCTTTGGCCTGGCCCAGCCCCAGCCATAGTGGGCATTTTGGGAGTGAACCAGCAGAGATGGGGGATTTCTCTCAAACACACAAATAAAATTAAATATATATATATATATATGTCCAGAAGCTCTCTGACACACCACCTGGTGGGCTGGGTTTGCAGCACAGTGGGTTAAGCCATAGTTTGCGATGCTGGTATCCAGTGTTGGAGCTGTGATTCAAGTCCTGGCTGCTCTGCTTCTGATCCAGACTCCTGCTAGTACGCCTGGAAAGGCAGCAAGCAGATGATGGCCCAGGTAACTAGGCACTTGCCACCCTTGTGGGAGACCTGGATGGAGTTCTGGGGACTCGGCTTCAGCCTGGTCCCGCCCTGGCTCTTGTAGGCATTTGGGGAATGAGCTAGCAGAGAGATCTCTCCACCCCTGCCCCCGCCCCTTTCTTTCTCTGTTTCTCCCTATTATTCTGCTTTTCATATAAATAAGTAAATATTAAAAAAAAAAAAAAAAAAAAAAAAAAGTGAAGCCTGGAGCAGGCATTTAACATAGCAGTGAAGATGCCCATGTCCCACATTAGAGAACCTGGGTTCAAGTCCCAGCTCTGGATCCTGACTCCAGCTTCCTGCCAATGCAGATCCTGGGAGGCAGCAGTGAAGGTTCAAGTAATTGGGTTCACCCTTCACCTGTGAGACTCGGACTTTGTTCTTGGCTCCTGGCTCTGGCCCTGGCCATGTCCTGGCCATTGCAGGCATTTGGGGGTATGAACCAGAGCTCTCTCCCACTCCTTCCCTTTCTTTCCTTTTTTTTTTTTTTTTTTTTTTTTACAGGCAGAGTGGACAGTGAGAGAGAGAGACAGAGAGAAAGGTCTTCCTTTGCCGTTGGTTCACCCTCCAATGGCCGCCGCGGCCGGCGCACCGCACTGATCCGAAGGCAGGAACCAGGTGCTTCTCCTGGTCTTCCATGGGGTGCAGGACCCAAGCACTTGGGCCATCCTCCACTGCACTCCCTGGCCACAGCCGAGAGCTGGCCTGCAACCGGGACAGAATCCGGCGCCCCGACCGGGACTAGAACCCAGTGTACCGGCGCCGCTAGGCGGAGGATTAGCCTATTGAGCCACGGCGCCGGCCTCCTTCCCTTTCTTTCAAAACAAACCAGTGGAGCCTAATTCTCCCCTTGAGTGTGACCCTGGACCTAGAGACTCATCTCTAATAAACAGAATGTAGCAGAAGGGACACCACCCACTCCTGAGCCTCGGTCACAGAAACAACTCCCCTGCCAGCCCCCCTCCACTTGGATCCCCTGCTCTGGGGAAAATCGGCCGCCATGTTGGAGGGGACACTCAAGCAGCTCTGCGGCATCCCAATCGGAGAGGAAACATTCCCCAGGCATGGGGGTGAGCGCTTGGGAGTGTATCTTCCCCAGGACTTCAGTCCTTCAAACTGTAGTCATCCAGCTCAGACCCGCACACACTGTGGGGCCGAAACAAAATATCCCACAGCGCCCTGCCTGAGTTCTTGCCCCAAAGAAAACATGGGATAATAAATGGTTACTGTTGTTGTAAGCCACCAACTCTGGGGGTGATTTGTTACATAAGAGGAGATAACTCAGGACCAGCGTTGTGGCATAGTGGGTTAAGCACAGTGGTTGGAGTCCCAGCTGCTCTACTTCCAATCCAGCTCCCTGCAAATGAGCCTGGGAAAGTAGTGGAAGATGGTCCGCATGCTTGGGCTCCTGCACCCTTGTGGGAGACCCAGGTGGAGTTCCAGGCTCCTGGCTTTGGCCTGGCCCAACCCCGACAGTTTTGGCTATTTGGGGAGTGAATCAGCAGATGGAAACTCTCTCTCTCTGACTCTCCCTTTCTCTGTAACTCTGCACTTCAAATAAATAAACCAACCTTTTTTTAAAAAAATACAAGATCATGTATGAACTGCATCTGTCTTATTCACTGCTCCAGTCTCAGCACCTGGAAACTGCACTTGCACACGACAAGTTCTCATTTAGCATCTGTCAAGTAAAAGACAGCTCAGACTGGAAGCAGGAAGCTTGGCTGAGCCTCTTTAAAGTCTGAAACGAGGGAAACATCAAACAAAATAAAGGAAGAAAGGGAAGGAATTCAGTTCTCTCCGACACACTGAGAATTCTTTCCCAGACCTACTTCTAAACGGTGCTCTTGGAAGAAAGGCAGGAAGGTGAACCCCAGCCCCAGGACAAAGCAGAGCAGACTCACTGATCTGTATCACGCAGCTGGCTCCAGACTGCGGCCCCACTATGTGGCTCCCAACGCACTTGAACTTCTTGCCATCCGACAGCTCGGACTGGTTCAGCACTTCCACCCCTAGCTTCGACTTCCCCAGGATCAGCCCTTCAGGCTCCTCTGTCCACAGGTAGTCAGGGTCAGGGTAGCCCCCGTCCCAGCGACAGGTGAGCTGCAGCGCGGACGATCCCGATGATGTCTCTGCCCAGCAGTGAGGGGCCGACGGAGGGGCAGCTGCCAAACAGCAGAGGACACCGTGAGCTCATGCGCAGACCCCAACCCGGGCACCGCACTGGCCAGTAGAGATCACAGAGCCAGGGTTGCAGAACCACCACCTGGAAACAGCACCTGGCACACATGCGTGTCTGCCAACAGCCAGGATTCCCGCGCTGGGTGTCACATCTCTGAGGTCCTGGGCTTCAATGTGTCTGTGCATGACTCTAGCCACAGATGGCCAGAGAAATGACTGAAATTACTTGAAATCACAAATCCAGTTGCTCCATCACACAGCCCACCTCTCAAGTGCACAGAAACCGCAGGTGGGGAGCGGCTGCCGTGCCAGACCACACAGGGTGTCTCAGAAAGTCCCACTGAATGGCGCTGGTCCCCCGATTCTAACACTGGGAGCCTCTAGTCGGGGCACATGGAGGCCTGGAGGTTACAGGTGGAGGCAGACTAACTCATACCCCCTCCAACACAGCCATTACCTGTGTACTTTATGTAACGCACATAAGCAAACATCAGTTGGGGTGCAGAATGGATATTTGGTGCATCGGTTAAGACCCTGCTTGGGACGGCCGCATCCCATAGTGCAGTGCCTGGGTGTGGGGTCTGGCTCTGGCTGCCGATTCCAGCTTCCTGCTCATATGCACCCCGGGAGGCAGGAGGTGATGGCTCAAGTAGTTGGGTTTCTTCCACGTGTGTGGGAGACCTAAACTGGGTTCCAGGCTCATGGCCTCAGCCTGGGCCAGTCCTAACAGCTGTGGGCACTGGAGAAGTGAACCAGCAAATGGAAGATCTCTGTCTACCCAAGTATCTCTTTGTCTTTCAAATAAAATTTTTAAGTAAAAAATATGAAACAAAAAAGGACATTTGGATCTTCTATGGATGGGTGACAGCTCTAAGAAAAATTCCTGGCAATATATCAAATTAATGGTGAGATGCTGATTTGCTTCTGTCCTTCCTACAACAAGCACACATAATTTTATCTACAATCAATGTCGTTCACGATAGAGATCTCAGAGCTTCCAGATGACTTAAGAACTGAGTAACGTGTTAGTATCCTGCCCGCTAATTTGTCGATCTGATGTGTTGGTTCATCTGCACGGATTATGAGCACCCTCCGCATGGCAACCGTGGTTTTTAATCCAAGATATCTGTGCAAAGGAGTTTGGTAGATTTTTCTCCACACTCAAGCTCACGGCCAGCTGGTTCACAATGGTGCTGCCTGGGATGACCATACTGGGCTTATGAATTAACGAAGGAGTGTGGGTGAATAGATGAACAAACTGTAGTGTCTCCATACAACCGACTGTTACTCAGCCACAGAAAAGCTTGGAGGACAGAGCTATGCTATCAACACCACAATGCAGATGAACCTTGAAAACATGATGCTAAGTCAGAGGCCAGACACAAAAGACCACATATTCACAGGAATGACTCATTCCTAGGGAATATCCAGGATAGGTAAGTTCACGGAGACAGATTTGGATTGGTGAAGTCAGTGGCTGGGGGAAGAGGTGCTAGGAGTGAGTGCCCAGTGGGTACAGGGTTTCCACCCAGAGTGATAAGAACATTTTGAAACTAGACAGAGGCGATGGTTGCACAACACTGTGCATGTACTAAGTGCCGGTGAATTGTACGTGCTTAAAGGTTGGGACGCACACTGTGGCACAGCAGGTTAAGCTGCTGCTTTCGATGCCCGCATCCCACTTATAGAGTGTCCGGTTCCAGGCCCAGCACCTCTGCTTCTGATCTAGCTTCCTGCTAAAATATCCTGGGAGGCAGAGGACCTGGCTCAAGTGCTTGGGTCCCTGCCACCCACATGGGAGACCTGGAGAGAGTTCTGGGCTTCTCCCACAGAATTGGCCCATTTTGGCTGTTGCAGATGTTTGAGTAGTGAGCCAACAGATGGAAGATGTCTCTCTCTCCCTCTCCCCTCTCTCTCTCTCTGTTGCTGTGCCATTCAAGTAGATGAAAATATATAAACACTGAATCAAACCAAATGTTAATGTTATTAATTAAAAAAAAAGTTCTAGGCTCAACATTCATTCCCCACTGTGGCTCACAGGGCCCCTCCTGCATCCCTGGCCCAGAAGGGGGTTGGCAGCAGCCCTTGGGGGTGGACCTGCGTATCATGTGTGTGCAGTGGAAGCCCCAGAAGTGCATCAGGATCCCAGACAAGCTTTTCAAGACAAAAGGCCTAGCGATGCCTCTCACCAAGGCTGCAGGGGAAGCGGAGGGGGAGGGGAGCGCTTCTTACTCACAATAGACCAGGAGCTCGGTGGTCACCTTTCGCTGCCTCCCGCTGCGTGTGTTCTTGGCCAGACAGGTGTAGTTGCCTTGGAGGTTTGGCGACATGAGGAAGAGTGTGAAGTTGCTGACCGTCAGGTTGTCCCCAAAGTACTCTTCGCGGGAATTCAGGCCCTGGAACCACCACTCGACCACGGGTGGGGGCCGGGCGCTGCTGCTGCAGGTGAAGTCCACGTGGGAGCCCCTGGCTGCGTAGAGGGTGCCATTGGGGAGGGTGCCTGTGGCAGAGATGTTGACCACAACCTCATAGGGGCCACCTAGGAGTGACAGAGGGGCAGGGGACAGGATTAATCTTTCTCTCTCTAATTTATTTGACAGAGTTACAGAGAAAGGGGGGAGGGGGAGGAGAGGGGGAGAGGGAGAGAAAGGTCTTCTATCCGCTGGTTCATTCTCCAAATGGCTGCAATGGCCAGAGTTGAGCCGATCTGAAGTCAGGAGCCAGGAGCTTCTTTTGGGTCCCCCTTGTGGGTGCAGGAGCCCAAGACCTTGGGCCATCCTCTACCGCTTTCCCAGGCCATAGCAGAGAGCTGGATTGGTAGAGGAGCAGCTGGGATGCTGGTGCCGCAGGTGGAGGCTTAGCTTACAGTGCCACAGCATTGGCCACACAGAATTCACCTCTTAAGAGAGCAATCAGGGGCCGGCGCTGCAGCTCACTAGGCTAATCCTCCACCTTGCGGCACCAGCAAACCGGGTTCTAGTCCCGGTCGGGGCGTCGGATTCTGTCCCGGTTGCCCCTCTTCCAGGCCAGCTCTCTGCTGTGGCCAGGAAGTGCAGTAGAGGATGGCCCAAGTGCTTGGGCCCTGCACCCACATGGGAGACCAGGAGAAGCACCTGGCTCCTGCCTTCGGATCAGCGCGGTGCGCCAGCCACAGCACGCCAGCCGTGGCAGCCATTGGAGGGTGAACCAACGGCAAAGGAAGACCTTTCTCTCTGTCTCTCTCTCTCACTGTCCACTCTGCCTGTCCAAAAAAAAAAAAAAAAAAAGAGAGAGAGAGAGAGAGAACAATCAGGAAGCAGCCAACGAGAAGATAATATGGATCAATTACTTACCATGTGACAAACACTGTCCCAAGTGCCCACGTGGGTCCTCTCAGTCACTCTGGCAATGGTGTGAGACTTAGGAGGGGACAGATAAATCCTGACAGGACGTGGCACAGACAGAGGCATGGCACAGACACGCGCTGGCACAGCAGCCAGAGACTGCACTCACTAGAAGTCCTGTTTGTGGGCTGGCCCTTGGCTAATGTTTAGGAACATGAATTTGGGAAGGGTTTCCATTACCCCCAAGTTAGATAGGATCTCGCTGTGCCTCGACTGTCAGTACAAACCACGCTGTGTATGCTTGATCCGTTTTTCATGACTATAATGAGTTACCTGAGGCCAGCTCTTTATAAAGGAAAGAGGTCGATTTTGGCTCACTGTTGCAGAGGACAAGGTCTAGGGGCCTCATGTCTGGTGCTTGTCTTCTTGCCGGCACAGTCCCACGGTAGCACGTGTGACAGAGACAGGGAGTGCATGTTTACATGTGGGTGTCCTGGTCCCTCTCTCTCTCTCTCTCTCTGATCTATTTATTTGAAAGGCAGACTTACAGAGAAAAGGAGAGACAGGACAAAGAGAGATCTTCCATCTGGCTGATTCACTCCCCAAATGGCTACAACAGCCAGGGCTGGGCCAGGCCAAAACCAAGAGCTTGGGACTCCATTTGGGTCTCCCATGTGGGTGGCAGGGACCAAGGACTTGGGCCATCTTCCGCTGCTTTTCCCAGGTCCATTAGCTGGGAGCTGGATTGGAAGTGGAGCAGCCAGGACTTGAATCGGTGCTCATATGGGATGCTGGCATTGCAGGAGGCGGCCTCACCTGCTGTACCACAACACCAGCCCCTTCTCCCTCTTCTTATGAAGCCACCAGGATTCAGTCTTGGGGGCTTCACTTGACTCTATCTAATCTCAATCCCTCCCCAGAGGCCCCACCTCCAAACCCCACAGTCAGATTAAGTTTCCACCCTCTGAATACCTCACAAAAGGGATCAAATTTCAACAGAGGGAAGCCTTGGCGGACACTCAAACCACATCCAAACCAGCCTTGACCCACGCTGTCTGGAGGGGTTGGCAAGGACCGGTCAGCACCATTCCCAGCTGTCAGACCTTAGCTGCCGTCTTCTAACAACAAAACCACAGCAAGAATGAACACCTGGTTTCCCTCTGGGAGGCCGTGATGCCGGTCAGTGCTGGGCAGTGGGCAACTGTGTGACTGGCTCCTGATAAAAACCTCAGGCAAGGAGTTGTACCGAGTCTCCCCAGGGGATATCTAACACGTGGACGGCAACTCCTGGCTGGAAGTGGGCGGTGCATCCCTTGCAGGTGCATGGTGCCAAGACTCCTGCAAAGCTTGTGCCCGGCTTCCCCTGGACTTGGTCCTGTGTGCCTCTCCCCACTGCCGATTGTGCCTTGTACCCTCTCATGGCAAAGAATCATGCTACATGCTGCATCTTGTGCATCCTTCTAGAAAATCACCGAATCTGGGTATGGCATTAGGGACCTGCAGCACAACATGATCCTGAAAAACAAGAAACACCGCCGCCAGTTCAAACTTTGGACTTCACCTACTAGCTGTGCGACTTTGGGCAAATTATTTACCGTCCTGTAGCAGCCTCCACTTCCTCACCTGTAAAATGGGGTGATGCCAGTACCCCCCTCACGGAGTGATGAGTACAGGTGAACACTACGTTGGAAGCACTGGATAACCGGCAAGGCTCCCTTCACATTTCTACATTTCTCATTTCCTGAAATTATTTTTTTTTAAGATTTATTTATTTATTTTTATTTGAAAGAGTTACAGAGAGACAGAGGCAGAGAAAGAAGGAGAAGTCTTCCATGCAGTGGTTAACACCTCCCCCCCCCCCCCAAATGGCTGCAATGGCCAGATCTACACCCATCTGAAGTCAGGAATTAGAAGCTTCTTCTAGGTCTTCCACATGGTGCAAGGGCCCAAGTACTTGGGCCATTTTCTGCTGCTTTAGCATTACCAGGCGCATTAGCAGGGAGCTGGATTGGAAGTGGAGCAACCGGGACAGGAACTAGTACTCACAAGGGATGCTGGCATTGCAGGCAGTAGCTTAGCCGACTACACCACAACACCAGTCCCATCCTGAAATACTTTCTACGGCTGATACTCACTATACTTAAGATGCAATGTCACTTTGAAGAAAAGAATGAGTAGACTTCAAAAACGTTGTGGAAAAGCAGAATTAAAAGAAGTTTAGGGGTTGGTGCTGTGGCGTAGTGGGTAAAGCCGCTGCCTGCAGTGCTGGCATCCCATATCGGCGCCAGTTTGAGACCCAGCTGGCTCCACTTCTGATCCAGCTCTCTGCTATGGCCTGGGAAAGCAGTGGAAGATGGCCCAAGTCCTTGAGTCCCTGCATCCGCTTGGGAAAACCCGGAGGAAGCTCCTGGCTCCTAGCTTTGGATTGGCACAGTTCTAGCCATTGCGGCCAATTGGGGAGTGAACCAGTGGATGGAAGACCTCTCTCTCTCTCTCTCTCTGCCTCTCCTTCTCTCGCTGTCTGTGTAACTCTGACTTTCAAATAAATAAATAAATCTTTAAAAAAAAGAGAGTTTGTTTTGGCACAAAAGAAAAGAAAAATCCAAAACCCATTCTTTTTATTATTAATATACATTTTCCATGAACTTTTTGGAAACATTGTATATCTCTCCCTTATAGAAGTATACAAAACTTATTTGTCAGTTTAAAATGTTTTAGGGGCAGGCATTTGTTACAGCATTTGGTTAGGACACTGCTTGGGATCCCACATCCCATGTCAAAGTGGCTGGGTTCCAGTCCTGGCTCCACTCCTGATTCGAGGTTCCTGCTGGCGTGCAGCCCGGGAAGCATCAACTGATGGTTTAAGCAGTTGGGTTCCTGCTACCCACAGGGGAGACATGGATGCAGTCGCCGGCTCCTGGGCATCTGAAAAGTGACCTAGCAAGTGGAAGGCTTCTGTGTGTCTTTTTTTTCCTCTCTGCCTCTCAAATAAATTCTTGAAATAGGTACAGTGCGCTTGGAGGTGGGCAGATATGGGGTGGCTGCTTCAGAGCACGGGGGAGGCCTGGGGCCCCCCTGTGGACAGCAGCCCTCCTGCAGGCTCTAGTCCACACTGGCGGGTCCCCAGCGCCATCCTGCTACTTCATCCCCGGGCTACGGCCCTTTCTCTCTGACAGCAATGGGTTTTGCTGACAAAGAGGGTGTCCTCTAACTAACTGGTGTGGGAAGATCACACCAACTTACACCCTTCCAGTGCTTTCCTGAGCAGCTCTCAACAAATGCAAAAAAAAAAAAAAAAAAGACAGAAATTTTGGGGCCCTCACACGTCAACTAGAGAGCTTACATTGATTTTTGTCTTGCACACATACCTGGTTTTGTCAAAAGGATTTCAACAAAATCCTTTAAAGCAAAAAAACATTTTTAAAGTAAATTTTAAAGACTATTATCTTGTTCATCCTAAAGTAATCTACTGTGTGCTACCTCTCCCAGAGACAAATTCTTTTTAAAAGAAGCATCCAGGGGCCGGCGCTGTGGTGCAGTAGGTCAGGCCTCTGCCTGTGTACCCACATGGGTGCTAGTTTGCGTCCCAGCTGTTCCATTTCCCATCCAGCTCCCTGCTCATGGCCTGGAAAAGTGGCGGAAGATGGCCCAAGTGCTTAGGCCCCCATCCTCACATGGAAGGTCCAGAAGAAGCTCTTGGCTCCTGGCTTCAGATCAGCCCAGCTCCAGCTGTTGCAGCCATTTGGGGAGTGAACCAGTGGATGGAAGATGTCTCTCCATCTCTCTCTTTCTCTCTCCCTCCCTCCCTCTCTCCACAACTCTGCCTCTCAAGTTAAAAAAAAAAAAAAAATCCAGGAAATCAACGTTTAGCCAAAGCAATAAACTTGCGGCTGTACAATTTTGGCCGGAAATGGGCTGGGGAGGGGAAAAATGAGTTGTGGAAGGAAAAGACTTCAAAGAACAGCATGGACTTCACCCACATCCCATCCACCTCTGGCCATGGAAAAACTACAGCAACCGTGGTTTCCTGTGGGCTCTGGTCAAGTGGGGGCTGCGCCCCAGCAATGCGGGAGCTGTCGGAGTTGTGTCAGCTCCCACAAAAGGTCTGGGAGAAACGTGACCCTGTGGTTCGGGAGCTGCTCCCGACGTCCCATTCACTGCTGCCAGCTCGCAGGTCAGGTATGTGGACCAGCAGGTCCATGGGTGTGCCCGCAGT